TCATAGATTTACGACACAGCGAACGTTTAATAGATGAATGCACATTATTCGTTTACGGCTAATATCAGCTGATCAGCTTAGGCTTAGCATTGTCCACTTTCATGTTTTGAATACTTTAATGAATGATAGTTCTCGTAGTTTAGTTTATCAAACGTATAAACGATTAATTATGCAAATCATTCACGGCGACTAATTAATTACTCGGTTGGCCTGCTCGCCCACTAGCCAGCGGGTGGCGTGAATTGAGGCTAGAACAGTACGCACGGAAACATTGCGAGCATTGTGGCCTGCAGCAACGTTACAAACGTCTGATAGCCTAAAGCTGCTTGCCAATGCAGGTAATCCAGTTCTCATAGTGCGTCGCTTATCGCATCGAATACTTATCGTTACTTTTACGATAGATAGATAGATAGATANAATCCAGTTCTCATAGTGCGTCGCTTATCGCATCGAATACTTATCGTTACTTTTACGATAGATAGATAGATAGATATGAACTCTAGTCTGTCTAATCTCGATTATATCCCCTATCATACTCATCTAATTTATCCACTCCCCTCACTCCTTGCTGAGTCCCTCAACAAAGTTAACCAGTCCAAAGAAATCTGCTATTTATGAAATAAGATTCCTTGACACTCATCAATTCATCCACCATCTACAATCGCTCATTTAACGTTAAGATCACCGCGATTGATCCACTTTAGATCAAAAGCACGCACGCACGCACGCACGCACCTCTTGATCAACTGAAATACCAATGCAGCAGCAGCAATACTCTATCTATCATACCAGATTATATCAAACATATAAAATCGCTATATTCATGAACACCGCTCTATACTCAAATTGCAAAACAACAAAACAAATAACTCACAAATGTTTATCTGATCAGCCTGCTTACAAATGCTCTCATTCTCCTCAATTAACCAAACACCCCATACCGCTTTCCTCACCTACCATCCCAGCCCATATCTTCAATTCCACCGTATCATTCCTAATCAAAATCATTTCATATAACAACCAACCATAACAATTACAATAATAATCAAAATCATTTCATATAACCAATCATAACAATTACAATAATAATCAAAATCAAATAACATTGACCACTTCAAATCACTATCATATCATACTATTACTTCACTACCTTAACTAGTGCCAGCCAATCAATTGATCACTAAAAATCACCATACAATATAGAAGAACAATCAAACCACCATCCAAAGTAACACTATTCAATATACATTAACCAACTGATTAACAAAAATCAAACAACATTTTAATGACAATCGCACACAAACTATCAAATCAACCATCGCAATTACATAAATAAATATTCTACTCAGTTACACCACTCCACCATCCATCGATACTACCAATCATAACTGATCACTCAAAAACACTGAACTGTTGTTTATCAAGTAAAACTATTAAATTCGTTACTTTTACTTATTTGTTATACTCTTTCAACTGCTCTATTACTGTTATTTTGTATTTAATCTACTGCTTTTTCTCTATTACTTCGAATTGTTACTTTATATTACATTCAGTGTGCATCCATCCAGCCAGCTGTTTTCATTATTATAACTGTTATGTTATTGTTTCATTACTCTCGATACAGTATCAGTTTCTAATCTCAAACATACTATTTCTCACTACTCATTTACTATTTACAACTAGTAAACTCATATTTGTCACAGNTATCAGTTTCTAATCTCAAACATACTATTTCTCACTACTCATTTACTATTTACAACTAGTAAACTCATATTTGTCACAGAATCATAACGGTTCATTTAATAGGCGCCATTTCAACACCTATTGTTATCATTCTGATCAATACTGATCAGATAATCGCGTTGATCACTGCCACCGTTCTGATCATCATTGCACAGCTAAAAAACCGTCTGCATATTTCACATGGCCACAGTAGTCGAATACATATTATCTGAAACATCCTGAATGGTGTGACAGACAGATTAATAAGACTGATCAATAGATTGATAGACTGACTGATCAATAATGGATAGACTGATCTGATCTGATCTGATCGATAGTAAGCAGACTCAATAAGATTGATCAATAATGAGCGGATTATGGTATAGCTATTACAAAGTATTTTACAAGAAGACAAATTACTGCTAGAATAGACAAATACAATGTTGTAAGGATTATAACTGAAACTGATTTACCACCTCCTTAGTGATGTGCATCACATCCACGGTAGATGGATGGATGGATGGATGGCATCGTATTTGCCTTCGTTGATGACGTCCGATTTGGCAGCGTTTACACGAAAGCGTATTAATTGGTAATTAGGACGATGATAATGAATTGAAAGTGATTTTGGAATTATTTTAAGATTCACAATAAAATTATTATTGCATACACACAGTTATTGAAGTTACTGAACATCCAAATCGATTCTCGTCTCAATTATCTTCACTCATACATCTGAAAATTTTTATGAGGCATTAACCTATCGATTAAAAGATTCACTTCACATATTTTATTTTTTTCCTAATTTCATCTCACAATATAATGACCATATGATGACCAATGACTAATGACCATATGATATAATGACCATATGATTTCATAATATAATTCAATGACCTTACATTACAATTACTACCATACAATTCAATCATCTTACTAATTAAATCTTACTAAATCTTAAATCACCTTATGATTCAGTGCACAATTTCAATTGCTCTTCATCTTCGTCTTAATAAACACAACATTTTACAATATGCGTTTTTTTCTATAAATTACATTCAATTATTTCATTTCTGTTTTAATATTTTCGTGTTCTGTTTTACTGTTTCAATATTATACAAACTAGTTATGGGTGCATGCTATTATCTCTGTGAATATATCCAAATTTCAACGAATATTCCAATTTATATATCCACTATTGAATATCATATCCACTACATATCATATCCACTACATATCATATCTATCGTAACTCATCCAAAAACTGCCCTTAATTATACGTATAATTAGACGTCTAACTTTTCAGATGTCACCTTTTGGCTCATTCTATGCAAGAATGCGAGTGCACTCAACACTGCTCCATATGATCATCAGCTGATCATCAACTGATCCAGATTCATACCAAAAACTGTATTTTCAATCACAATACTACATTGTTTCGTGCAAAACGCTAGTATTTTGAGTTGAACGCTGCCATTCAACTGTCCTATGAAACAATTCATACAATTTATGTGATCCAAAAATCAAAATAACAACTGTTATTAATACTACTGCTATAATTACTATTATTATTATTACTGTTATTATTACTAATATTATTACTGTTACAATTATTCTGTCTATTTAAACGATTAATACTTCCACTCATAAAAACTTATTCGCAAATCATTCACTAATATTGTCACCACTCCACTATAACTATCAACTTTACTATTGTTCCCATCCAAAGCACTGATTACCATTGCCAATTCCATTATTCTTCTAATCAATATTATCAGTTTATCACTACCACTATCACTAAACCTTGATCACCAATAACTGATCAGTCAGTGATCTGAATTTAAACCTTTCCATCCCACCCATGCAGTATGTCTCTACTACCCATTATCGCGAATGACCATTGCTCAACTGCTTTATCAAAACTAATTACGGCCACTATTACTACTACAAATACTGACAAAATTAACGACTCTGATAACAAGAGAAATAAAAAAACTAGCAGTAATAATAACAGTAATAGTAATAGTAACAATAATGATAGTAATCACCACGAATCAAATCCTAAGACTTCCGTTAACGATACTTCATTAGGTGATATTGATAAGAATAAAGAGATAAGCGATAAAGACCACTCAATTTGCACTAATAAATATCTGATATATAATGTACTACCGTCAAATGCTACTATAAACTACAATTCAGAGCAGTCTCTAGAGAGCAATTTGGCTGCTGAATCGAGTCTAATTAACCGAAAACACTTAATGAGCCTTGTCAATAATTTGGATTCGGATTCAAATTCAATTCCCAATTCAACTACTCATTATCAAGCAACTAATGCTCCGACAAGCAGTAGTAGCCTCCTGATCACTAATGATATCATCTTATGCCATCCACCTGACGCAAGCACCTCGTGTCGTCAACCGGCTACTTCCACCTCAGTTCCATCCCAAACCCTGACCCTCTGCCCAGCCCCATCCCTGCAGTCTCGCCACTATCTGCAGTATTCTTTACCAGGTCCATCACCATCGCAGTCACCACCTCCTCCCACTCAAAATAACTCGTCATTCAAGCAACGTCATCCACAACACCTGCTCAACAAGCACTATACAGATAATAATAACCTCAAAACTATATCGTCTTCTATGCATCCCATCTTGCCCACTCATTTGCCCATATGCAATCGATCGCTCTCTAATCCAACCCGCACCTCGTTTCATAATCCTGCTCATCCTCACACCAAACACAATGTCAAACGCTCTCCTTATTTATCCCAAAGCACATCATTACCTATTATTTACTGCATTAACAGTTATAATCATCATACCCATACCCATACCCCTACCCATACCCATACCCTTACCCATACCCATACCCGTACTCATACCCATACCCATACCCATACCAATAATGATAACACGAATAATATTACTGAAACGCAACAAGACCATTCCAATGCTTTCGATCTAAAGCGACCTTCTTTTCACGATTCAATCAACCAACCACAATCAAGCACCAAAAGTATCAGCAGTAATAGCAACACTACAAAACCAACTGAAACAATTGCCGGCCAATACAATACCAATCATTGTACAGGTGAGTGATCAGTAGCTGATTGAGCAATTGATCGACTAATTATTGATTGATCGATGCTATCCGAAAATCAAATCGATCTCATTCATAGACCTAATCCACTCGCAATTACTACTCGAATACATTACTCAATTACTCGAACGAATAATAACCAATCATACATGCAATTAATCCTTCGAATTTCAGTCAAAACATCGCCACCACTCGAACATGCATTCGGCAATATGTCACCACTAAGCTCACCAACGTGCTCATGTTCCATCAGCGCCTCAGATTCATCACCAAAAAACTACTATGACTATGATGAGGATAATGACGGTGCGATGGACAGCGACGAGATCAGTATCCATATCCCGGCCACAACAACCACTCCATCGGAGACATTCGATGGGGGTTCCCATACACTTGCCACTGATCCGGCAGCACACGGCACTGATCACGATCACGATCAAGCAAGAATTGCTAACTCGATTTCGGCTTCTTCTAATTGCTGCTACTGCTGCAATTGCTGCTGTAGTACTAGCAATCTACAGCCCAATACTTCCTCATATCATCAACTAATTCTCAGTGAGCATCATCATCACCCATTGCTATCTCCACCTCCGACTACTGCCAACACACTGATCAGCAGCAAAACTTTGCAAACGGCCACTCATCATAACGATGACGAGACCACGAACACAGCAACAGCTACTACTACTAATGAAGCGGTAGCATTGACCGCAGCTTATGATCAGCCTCCTCACTTCGATGATCCATCAGATCATGGCAATCTGGATGATCGTCGATTGCTCAATTGTCAAGCAGTTCATCACGCAGATAAGCACAACCATCCTACTTCATGCCAACAGCATCAGCAGCA